AATCTGCCCTTGTTTTTTCTTTTTGTTTTTCTTTTTATTTTTATTTTTGCATGTTATCACTGTGCCCGTTTTTTGCTTTTATTCTTTGTTCCGCAAAGTGCGCTCTTTTAGTTTGTAGTGATGTGACAATATATATATATATATAAACTCCGACGAAACAGTTTGCCACAGCCCCTCGTTTGTTGTCCTCTTCTCCCTCTCTGCCTACAGTTTACCGGGCAGCTCTGTTTGACTATATATATGGTTGTGTGCTTGAGTTACAGTGATATCAAATTCTCCCAGAGGAAGTCGTGGTCGTGCATGCATACACACTACGCCCACTTTTCTCGGGGGTACGGTGTACGGCTAAATCTAGCTTTGCTTGTCGCTCACAGGGAAATGGATATTGTGAGGGGAAAGGTGTGTAAGGATTTGAAGAGTAGGACATAAAAATGTAGAGTGGTATCTTGATACTGGTGAGTCAACAGTAAAAAAAAAAAAAAAAAAAAAGATATTGGGGAGGCAACACTCGCACTGTTGACGAGAAGATGGAATCGCCAAAGAGTGAAATTGCATTTTTATTACACGCAGGAAAAGGGGGTCCCAGCGACATGTATTTCTGATTTCTTGCAAGTTGTAACTTTTTTGAACTATTCATTGTTTCCTGGAACGCCGTCCTGTTGTTGCATTTCTTTAAATCTTATCATCCTTCCGCTTTGTTTTGTTTTGTTTTGTTTTTTTTTAACAAACAGACCGGGGGTCGGTTTCCGCTTGTTGAAGTGAGTAGTGTGGATTCCGAAACGTGGTGATTTATGATCTTGAGAGATCTTGACTGCCCACATTTGCAGGAGGAAGAGAAAAAGGGGGAAGTAGAGTGGGAGGACGCAAATGAGGAGACAGAGGGATACAAGGAGTGGAGAACAGGTGAAGGGAGGTGGAGATAGAATTAGTGCTTTCGTTCTGGTACTGCTTTGAATGTGGTGTCGTCAACAGTGAACCCAAGCAATGTGTGGGTCCAACGAGAACATAGATGATGGGAGGAGTATTAGGTCTGCCTACTGTTCCTCTAGGAGGAGTTGCATACAAGCTTCTTTTCTTTTCTTTTTTTTCATGCGGGCGGATGGACCACGTATCAGATATTAAACTGACCAGAACACATACAGTGCACTTGATCTTAGCCAAAAGGCCGAGAAAGGTATTATACAAGTTTTTTTTAATCAAAACTGAAAAAAAGGGGAAAAAACTGCTGGAACTTGGGTTTGGGGGAACTTTGGGCCCTTCAGCACCAACTTTCACTGAGTTCTTTTGGACTTCGTCATCTTCTTCTCTTGGAGTTATGGAGCTAATAAATTTCTTGCTTGTTAGTGAAACTTCTTTTTTTGATTGTTTTTTTTTTTTTTTTTTTTTTTTTTTTTTTTTTTTTTT